GCTGCAGGGGGGGGAGTTTGTGGGAGTAGGCGGGGAGGGGTAACTACACTGACCACCCCCCTCTTTGTACCTCTGTGATCAGAAGCAGCCATCAGAACACAGATCCCCAGTATCTCGAGAACAGGGTCTTTTACGCCCACCCTGGCTCCTACAGATTGTGTGCAAGTTGCTCCAGGAATACACAGCGGCCTCCCATGTGGCTGAGGGTTTGGAAAGGGTTGCTGCTGCTGTGCTAAGAGCTGAAATTGGCCCAAATTAACCGCAGTTTATGGTTCAAGCCTTCCCCCCGGAATTTGCAAGCCTTCCGTAACTCCAGAATTCCTCTAGTTACATCAGCGAGACAGACACTGATGTACCCAAGACCCCAGTCAAGATTGGCTCAGTCATTGGGCGTCTGCCTTCGGCTTGGGTCATGATTCCAGGGTCCTGGGATCAAGCCCCGCACCAGGCTCCCTGCTCCACGGGGGGCCTGCTTCTCCCTGTCCCTCTGCCCCTGCTTGTGTTCCCTCTCTCGCTGTCTCTGTCAAATAAATAAAATCTTTAAAAAAAAAAAAAAAAAAGACTACACAGTGTTTGCATTGCTTTTTTAATTTAAGATACGATTTGCACATCCTCCCTTATGGATTAGTATACATCTTCATCGAGTGCTTTAGAGGAAAGTGCCGAGTGTAATTTAAACTAGCATTGAAGAGCAAGGACTTTGGAGTCGTGTAGATTTGGGATCTATTTCTGCTTTGACATGTGTCACCCTGCACAGGGAGACTTTCGGCGATGTAAGTCTTCATGTTTTCACCTTTCAGATGGGGATGTTACCCAGCTCAAAGCACTGTCTCAAGAGTTGAGTTCCTGAGGTACTTAAGAGCCCTTACAAGTCAGTATTTTTTTTTAAAAAAGGAACAAAACCAGCAGAAAAACCAGCAAAGGAGGGCATGAACATGCTATTCACAGAAGAAGAAAACAGACCATTTATAGTGTCAGCAAACCTATGAAATGATGTCCAGCCTCCGTGGTGATCAAAGAGATGCAAATCAGAGCAACAATGCAATATAATTCTTCGGCTGTCAGATCGGCAGAGATGAAACATTCATGACACCTGATGTTGGCGACGGTTTAGGGAAGCAGGCACTCTTGCCCAGTGTTGGTGGGGGTGTATGCCGGCTCTGTGTATTTGGAGAGTTGCTTGGCCTGTTGGTTAAAATTACCTTTTATTCCACTAGTTATTCTTTAACAGCTCATTCTGCCTACACAAGTGGGCAAAATACGGGTATCGTTGCAACATCCTATCACGGGGGAAACAACCCACGTGTCACGAGTAGGGAAATATTTACGATACAGCCACTCAGCAAAATACCATGCGATAGATCCCAGGAACTGGGAAGCTCTGTTCACGGAAATGTGTTGACTGTGAACCATGGAGTCAGAAAAGTAAAACGTCACGTAGTCTCTTAGGTTCCTTCTGATGAGAAAAATACTCTGATTCAGTAAGGTCACAGTTGGCTGAGGACTGTCATTAGTCATCACAACTAAGTCCGGGCCCCTTTTGTTCTGTGCAGTAAGGGAGCTTCCCAGCAGTTAAACTTCATCAGACCATGTTATTCTGAGATGTTCCGAGGTGGTGAACACGCCTGAGGGCACGCGTGCGGCCATCTTGTTACGGTGAAACGCGCCATACGGCCTGGAATCGGGAGCAGCAAGAAGTCGTTAACAAAACGATGAGTGAGTTCTGTTTTGCAGTTGACTGAGGAAGCAAGCACGTGTGGCATTTAGGTGCCGGGGAGTGCCAGAATTAATTTATTCGCTCAACAAACATTTCTTGAGCTGTGCGTCGGGCATTGGGGTAGGGGTGAGAGTTACTACTACCTTTAGGTAAGCAATTACTCAAAGTGCCACAGAGGATATGGAGGTGGCGACTTGATGCACCACCAGAGCAATGATAAAGAGGAATTGTTGACAGCGTTAGAATAGAAGCTTCCTGAGAGCAGGGATTTTGTTTAGTTCACAGCGCCATGAACAGTGCTGGGCACCCAGTTGCTTAACATACGGAATTTGCTGAATGAATGAGTGAACACGTGAATAAATGAATTTAGCGAGTCAGGGTCTTAACAGCTAACAGAAGACACACAGAATTTGAGGAGTCTGTTGATAAAGGGGTGAACAGTCGCGTGTGGGCTGTAGATGATCCACAAGGGATGGTGTACACACCCAGGCAGATGGAGAGGCGTTGTCACTCCCCCAAGGCTGGAGGGGAAGAACGGAGAGAGGTTCTGGGAACTGAGAGGGAACCAGACTCACGGTTCCCACCCTCCCCAGTCTCCTGCCGAATCTCTCCGTGAGCCAGAGGCGAGACCCGGATGCGGTCCACCAGGCTGCCTGGAGCACATGTGTTGCTTGCCACGAACTCCGTGCGCCCGGAACGGCGCAGGCTTTGCATCGAGCTCCACAGATGACCCCGTGAGGTGAGCAGTACCGTCCCCATTTGACAGCTGAGGAAACAGAATGAGATTAGTTGGGTAACTAATGAGTAGGGTAATTATAATTCGTTATAATTAGTACAGTACAAAGCTAGTCTTGTAGGAAATGCCAACACATTTGTAGAGATTTAAGTCCAGGTTGGGTCTCAGTGACCGTGGACAGCAGCGTGGCCGAGTGGCTGAGAGCCTCGGAGTCCTCGGATGGACCGGGTGGGTGAATGGGGTCAGCTTACTTCTCTGGGCCTCGTGATAATACTCGCCTTCAAGAAAGTTTGTGAGGGTCGGGACGCCTGGGTGGCTCAGTCGGTTAAGCGTCTGCCTTCGGCTCAGGTCATGATCCCAGGGTCCTGGGATCGAGTCCCACATCGGGCTCCTTGCTGAGCAAGGAGCCTGCTTCTCCCTCTGCCTGCCTCTGTCTCTCTCTCTCTCTGATAAACAAATAAAATCTTAAAAAAAAAAAAAAAAAAGAAAGTTTGTGAGGGTTAAATGAGGTGATGGTTACAGAGATTTGGTACCTGGTAGACTCCACTCAAGTGGTAGGTGTTAATCAATAAGAAAATCTCAGCTCACATAAGCTATGGACATGTTAAGGCTTTGGAAATATTCCAGAATGCAAAGTGTGTGTTTTCTCTTGGGCGGAGGAGTATGGTTTTATTTTTTGGATATTTTTCAAATTTTAACCATGAATACATACTACTCTGATGGGAAAACAAGTTCCTTCCTCTCTCCCCACCCCGTCCCTCCCCCCTCCCTCTTTCCCTCCCTCTCTTCCTCTCTTCCTCTCTCTCCCCTCAAATCTGGGATCTTTCAGTGCCCTTCTGCCTCAGTTTCCTGTGTTGGTCCCTAGGCCCCTGGCCTCATGCTCTGAGTAGCCAGCATGGCTAGTCCCTGCCACGGCAGAAGGCCGTGTTCCCCATCTGGAATTCAGTGACCTGATCCAGGCTCCCTGCAAGGGCTGCCTCCCTCCTGGGGGTGGGGGCAGGTGGAGAGATGGCCTAAGGCAAAGCTTTGGATCTTGAGAGCTTTCTGACTTTGGTCCTAGTTTGGCATGTTTTCCAACGGGACTTCTCAGGGCTCAGCCCCCAGGAGCAGACACTCTGCTGCTAGACCCTCGGAGTCTGCTTAGTGATATTAATATTTATAATAATCCTGCAAAATGGGTATAATCTGCATCTTACAGAGAAGAGAACTGAAGCACAGAGAGGTTAAACAAATTTGACCAAAATCACACCTTTGGGGGTGCCTGGCTGGCTCAGTGGGAAAAGCGTGCGACTCTTGATCTCGGGGTTGTCAGTTGTGAGCCCCACCCTGGGTGTAGAGATTATTTAAAAAAAAAAAAAGGAAAAAGGTGGGGCGCCTGGGTGGCTTAGTCGTTAAGCATCTGCCTTCGGCTCAGGTCATGATCTCAGGGTCTTGGGATCAAGTCCCGCATCCCGCTCCCTGCTCAGCGGGGAGCCTGCTTCTCCCTCTGCCTGCCCCTCCCTCTGCTTACGCGCTCTCTCTCTCTCTCTCTCTGACAAATAAATAAAATCCTAAAAAAAGAAAAGAAGGAAAAAAAGCTGCAGGGGGCGCCTGTTTGGCTCTGTTGGTAGAACATGCCACTCTTGATCTTAGGGTGGGGAGTTGAAGTCCCAGGTTGGGTGTGGAGCCCAGTTAAAATTTAAAAACAAAATAAACAAAAAATGATACATTTGGTAATTGGTAGAGCCATGTGAATTTGAGTCCTTCTGCCTCGAAATCCTGCCCTTCCCTTTCTTTTCTCACGCTTTTGTTTTTGGGTTTTTTGGGAGGGGGGACGCTTTTGTTTGTTTTATTCTTTTTCGGATCTTCAAATGTCACATTAGTTTCAGGTGTACGACATAGTGATTTGACAGCTCGGTATATTCTGCCGGCTCATCCTTTCTTGTACTTTCTGAAGCCTTCAGTGGAGACTTACAGGTTCTGATTTTCTAACGATAAAAGCGTACTGAATTACATTTCGCATTAATTCGGTACTGAATTATCATTATGGATTATCATTGAAAATACACAAGGTGGGAAGAACGTTTCCACGTAGGTCCAGCCGTGCTGTCCGTATAAATCTGTATCTTGGTTCTTTTCCACGTAACGTGATAATATGCGCCTTGTTCCACGGTATTAGGAATTCTTTGTAGACCTTTCCAGTGCGTGCGCAACAGTCCCTCAGTCAGACCTCCCACTTGCTTCCAACAATCCCCTATTGTTGAACCTTCCCATGGTTTCCTGTGTGTTACTGTCAGCAACAGTGCTGCGAAGAACATCTTTTTATTCAGAAAGGTTTTTCTGTTCACCCTATTTCCTTAAGATAGTTTCTCAGAAGTGGAAATACTGGTTCAAGGGCTCTGCACGTAGGAAGTCTCTGCCTACATATTGCCAAAGAGTCCCCCCCCCCCCCCGCCCCCGAGGGTGGCGCCCATCCCTTCCCCCAGCCCCCCCCACCCCGGGGGGAAGTGTCAAGAGGATTCCGACGGCACATTCCCAGTCTAACGGCCTTGTGCTCTTCCCCCAAAGCCTCATAAAGAAGATGGCCCAGAGCGTGGTAGAAGTCATGGAAGACGCCAAGGGGAAGGTTCCAGAGAACCTCCTGGCCAACGGAGGTAGGTCACTGGCGTGTTCTTACCCAGGCCTCTCTCAGCCGGTTCTAGCCCATCGCTCGCCCTGTCGAGGGTGCAGGGACCCGGCCCCGTGGAGCATCTAGATGGACACGTTGCGCAGAGCTGTACACCCCGTTTTGAGCTCAGCAGGACTCCTGGCTTGAAGACTTGCCCCTTGGCCTGTGGATGGTCCTGGCTGTGGCATTTCTAGAACATCTGGCGTTCTTTACCCTGTAGAAACCTGCAGGGAGAGTGGGGTCAGTAGGGTCTCAGGGTTGTTTGATCTGCCCGCCTTCTCGATCAGCTTCTGTTCTACCCTGCCTGGAAAATTCCACCCATCCCCCACCCCCGTCCCCACCCCCACCCAGCCCAAGCCATTTCTCCCTCTCCCCAGGTGAGGCTGGAAAATGCCTTCAGGGGCCGGGAAAAGCCTCAAAACTTAAGTCTTTAAGTTGAGCCCAGTAAATACACAGAGAGTTAGACTGAACATGCCCTGGGTCGCGTGTTCGCATTTGGAATTTCTGTCTCTCCTGCGCTGTAGGAGAGACCCCAGATTCCAGAGACATCCGGGCCCATTAATTGTGTACGTACAATCTGAGTGCGCTGAAAATGTGCAAGACACAAGCTTGGCGACTCTGGAGACTTTAGAATTAGGCATTTGAACTCCGCAGAAGTCAACGGAACATGTGACTCTATGTACGAACACTGAAAATGGGAGTGTAAATTCTGTATCTAACAAGGCTCATTTGTTACGTATCGATTCATAGTTTCTCCCTCTTGGGAAACATAAGGCTTTTTTATTTGCTTGTTTAAATTGACGAATGGAAATGCTCGTGCTCCCAGATCTGAACCTGGCTTCATGTGTTCATGCAATATAATAACTCCCGCTTATTACATTGCAGGTTTGAAGGAAAAAATGAAATATTTAAAGAGTAGGTTATACGTTTGCCGTGAGTGTGCTTGGTGTGACGCCTGCATGTCCCTGGGAAGGTGGACTCTCGGTCTGGTCCTTGGGGTGTGGTGGTGATCGGGTCATGTGGATTTCTCTAGTAACAGCCTGCCTGGCACCTGGGTCACAATAGCCATGTGACCTATCATTTATTCCTTTTCCCTCTTTCTCATGTCTGCCCTGCTTCGCCCCCACCCCCCAGCACTGCATGCTTCCAGGAATGGGGTGATCCTCTGGCTCTGGAGTTCAAGGTGGACTTTCTGTATCTTTTGGCTTGTGGTCTGCTCCTTGGCTTTGATGTCTGTCCTCAGTGCCCACTCTCCTGAGTCTGGCTGTTTTGTGGACCCTGGCAGCTTATATGTCAGGCTTAGCTTTGTGTGGCCCTGCTGGGGTCCACTCACACAAGGGCTCTTCTCTCATGAGCCTTGCGGGGGTGGGGGCTGGGGGGGGGTTGGGGGGTGGGAAGCGTCCTTATCCCTCAGTAGGCCATTCCTGGCTAAAAGGAACCATTTGTTTTGGGTTTGCTCCAATCTGCTCAAATAGCAAATACTTTTAGGACAAACAATTAAGGCCAGCAAATCCTTTCAGGAGGAACACAGATCTTTACAGATTGGAACTTAGCAAAAATACCTTTCCAAATGCAATCTATTGGTGACATTGAAGTCTCTTGCTGGTGCTAATAAAAAATTATTTTTGTTAAATTGATCAACTGATCTTACTTTCCAGCAGGTAACTTGTAGGGTCCTAGACTAAGGAGCGGACTTAAGGTAGAGAGCTACTTTTCTACATAAAAACCTGGTCTTTAAGGCACGAGGATTTGAGCTCACAGTAAAATAGTGATCAAGATGCTTGCTTCTACTCAAAATTCACGTTACTTAAAACTAGATGTTACCACTCATCATCTCCATCCCCAGTGCAGGTGCCCGCTGCCTCTCATCTCAGGAGGAGGAAAGTCAGCTTTGTTTATGTAATATGCTTCATTATCTCCAGGCCCCCTGAGAATCGGGTGGGTCCCCATGACTTCCAGGACGAGAGGAGAGCTTCCAAGGCTTGTTCTGTAACCAGCCCTGTGCAAAGAGAAGTCAAGGGCTTGTGGCCGACGACTCTTGACATTCACAGTGTGTGTTAGCATAATAAAGCCTCTGAGAAGTACTGCAGTCCAGAAACCTGGTCAGACTGACTTTGGCTCAGGCTTTCCTGATACGATTTCGACTGGGAAATCTTTTTCTTATTCTTCTGCAGAGCACCTACGGAACTAGTGAACTAGTGATTGACAGAATTAACTGGAGGGCTCAGGGCTGCCCCCAGTAGGCAGGGTTTAATCCATTGGGGGGCCAGGGCAATGCCACAGGGACAAGCCAGCCACAGCCGCAACCCCTTGGAGCAGCCAGACCCGGTCCTGGACCTTGGCCGGTCACCTCTCTGGGTCCTGGTTTTCTCCCCCGTCAGTGGACTTCATCCTTCACAGGCTCTCGGCCTTTCTTAGGCACCTTTTGTTTTGGCTTGTTCTTTGCCCCCAACTGAGTTTTGAGTCTGGAAGGAAGGCTGTAGATGCGTTGGTGCTGGGCAAACACCCCGCTGTCTGGAGCAGGCCCTAGAACGGGCACTGAAGTCCTAAGCACCTGGAGAGTCGTCTGGCTGACCGGGAGATGGGCACAGGTCCCTCATCCCGCTCCCTGCCAGGAAGGCCTTGCTGTGGTTCTCAGATGAGGTCACTGTTGCTCAAGAGCCGCCGCCTATCGATGGCATGTTTTGATTCTGAGTGAGCCTGCCTGGGTCGTGGTCTGACCTCACGGGCCATCCGTCCAAGCCCCGGATTGCCCCCTTGGAGGCCAGGGTTCTCTGACTTCAGCCGGGGGCGGGGAGGGGAGGCCCGCTCCTTCCCAGGTAGGCAGAGAGAGGCTGCAGGGCTGGGAGCACAGCAAGGCCCAAGGGGACGGCTTGCTGCTTTCTAAGACGGGGGACTGTCCTCAGGCCATGTTGTCACCGAAGGTGACGGGCGCCGACAGGGTGGAGGGTCAGGGTCTGGAGCTGGTGCTCCTGACATGCCAGGGGAGGCATGGGAGGAGGGGGTCACAGTCACACACCAGAGATCTCAAGGGGCTTCTGTGCTGGGTGCCAGGCACGCAGAGGTGCTTGCTGTCCAAGAGCTCCTGGCCAGGGGGACAGCCCCGCGGTCCCGCACGTGCTGTGATGTCAGAGGGGCCCGAGGGGCCCCCCAAGGAGATGGGCAGAGTCTGGCAGGAATTAGAGGAGCCCCTCTAGAGGAAAGGGCCAGCTCATCTTCTCTGATCTGAATGCCACAAGGACCTTAGCGTCTGTGACAGTGCGTGGGGACGAGTCGGTGTGCAGTGTGTCTCTTCTAAGCCACCCACGTCGTGCAAGTTAGTACAGTCACCGGAGTCATGAGGGAGATTCTTACATGGGACGCTTGCTCTGTGACAGGCTGTGGGGACACGGAAACAGCCATCTGCCCTCGGGGAGCCTGAGAGCACAGAGAGAATCGGGATCAGGCAGCGTCCCAGGCAGCAGTGGGATGGACGGTCGGCAGGCGTTCGGGAGGTGGCCCTTGTCCTGATGTTGAAGGACAAAAGCAGCAGAGAGAGAGAGAGAGTAGGGGGTGGGAGGCGGCTTGGCGTGGGGGTGCTGTGCCCACAGGGTGCCGGAAGTGGCAGAGCAGGGAGGAGGAGGGACACAGATCCCAGAGCATCTCCTGCCCAGCATCTCCTGCTTGGGGCCGGCGGGGGGTGCTGGTGATGGCTCCAGCCTGGCCCCCTGGGTGGGGGGGGCTCCCTGAGTGGAATCAGTTGCCACAGGAGGAGTCCTTCTCCACCTTCCGGTTCTGCCTCGGGCTGCACCCCCACCCCCACACCCCATTATCCAGACATTTGTTCTGCTCCTCTCTGGTCTGTACGTTTTTGTACAAAGTCTTCCCCTGCAGGGGGTGGCAATACAAAAATCCATATTAATACCCAATTTATACCCAAATCTGTATTAGCTCGAGGTGCCATAACAAAACACCAGCCTAGGGTGCTGTCACAACAGACATTGATCTCCCACAGTTCTGGAGGCTAGAAGTCCCAAGATCAAGGTGCCTGCAGGCTGGAGTCCTAAGGGCCTGGCCTTGGAGGAGCACATGGGGAGGGGGAGAGCGAGTGAGCGAGCTCCCTGGTGTGTCTCCTTACAAGGGCGCTCATCCTAGCGGATCAGCTCCCTCCCCTTGGCGCCTCTTGTCAATTCCAGCCCCACTGGAACCTGAGGGACACCTTCTAAGTGCGAGTGAGCCGGACGTATCAGCACGTGGTTCTTGTGCGGAGATGGGCCACTGTGCACGCCGCAGGGTAGCCGTGCCCGGCCGTGGGGGGGGCCTGGAAGGAGCGGGGTGCTCCGTTGCTCCACGGTCACCGTCAGCTCCTATGGTGGACATTAGTGAGGTGACTGGCGCGTGCTGGTCCCACCTCTAAAGTGGAGGTGGTGATAATACTTAATAGGGTTGAAAGGTAAGTTAAATGCACTAATTCTCGGGTCCTGGCCAAGGTGAACAATGAGTGTCACCTACCCGAGTGGTTGTAAGGCCTTCCCACTTCTGTGCACACCCCTCTGCCAGCAGGCCGCTTCCCTCCACCGAGCCCCATTTCACTTCCATCGGCGTCCTGGGGACTCATCTGCCCTCGTGTCGGGCTCCAACTTGCCCGGAGCTGAGCTCCTCTCTTCCATCCGCCCCGCCCCGTCCCACTGCCCGCGGCTGCCCAACTTAGTGAGTGTCCCCTCCCTCTACCCTCTCACCCGACCTGGAAATCCAGGTGTGCTCTGGGCCTCCTTTGTGGGCAGTCGTCCTATTGAGCCTGCCCTCTCTCTTCTGCTTCCAGAGCTTAGGCCCCTCTGAGCCGCTCCTACTCTCGCACACTCCCCCTGCCGGCTTCTCCCCTGCAAAGCCCCCACTGGCCCCAGAGAAGTCTCAGTGCATGAACGTCCTTGGCTGGCTACATAGCCCGCGGAGGCTTGGTGTCCTAACCTGCTCGGTGACCTCTCCAGCCCTGCTACTGGAGTTGGAGTGATGTGTGGCCAATTACTGGCAGATAATGGGGCGGGGGGGTGTTCCATAGGTGCCTCCAGCATCCTTATCACCTCAGGAGAAAGTGCGGACACGGCCTTCCATGACCCTGCCCTGGTCCTCCTGTTCCATCGGGTTGTCCCAGAGATTCCTGGGCCCCCACGCAGGATGTCCTCCAGGCAGCTCACACACAGCGCCCTCCCCCTCCGGCCATGTGGCAAACGCCTGTCGCTTCCAGCCCCTGCATGAAGCCCTCCTTGCCCTCTTGGGAGTCAGGCGCCGGCTCTTCCACCCTTTGCACCCGGCCACGCTCCTGTTGCCATTCACCGTGGTGTGAGGTTTGCCTGGTTGTCTCCCTAGGAGACTGAGCACCTTGAAATCCAGGGAGTGTGGTCTCCTTTCCCCCTCACGGTAGCAAGCTGGTGCTCAGTGGAGGTGCCTGACCGTTGAGTCAGCAACCCCCCCCCCCCCCCCCGCCGTGCCCTTTATCTGCACAAGGACATGCTGGGAAGGGCAGGCGTGCACATGTCGTGGTGTGAGAATCCAGTGGGGGCAGGCTGGTCTTGCTCGGGTTCAAGGGTTTCTGGGGGCCACCCCAGCATCGCATACACTGACCCAACTTAGTACAGGGAGTGAGGGGCAGGTGTAAGCAGCAGTTGGCTCCAGGGGGCACTCTGTAAATGTGCACAGAGCTGATCTGAAGAGTGGGCACTTGAGCTGAGTTACTAGTTACCGTTCCTGGACCGGCCCAGGTTCCCTTGTGTGGCTTGTCGGACCTCAACTCCAGAGCTCCATCCTCTGCCCACAGCTGATGAGGGAACCAGAAACATCCCAAGAGCGCTGGGTTTAGGTTTGCTTTTGGAGAAAGTAAGGGGAAAAGGGAAATTTGTTGAGAAAACCCTGATTTGGTCTACTCACTATAGACTCTTATATAAAGGACATACACTGAAAAATGCACCTCCTCACCAGGCAGTGAAAACCACAGTCATAGACTCTAGTATTTTGCCAAGGTTTGCTGCCGCTGCCCCGCTGCCTTCTCATTCTTCTCCCCCTCCTCTGCCTCTTCCTCCTTAAAAGATGTATTTATTTGCGAGAGAGAGACAGAGCACGAGGGGCAGAGGGATAATCTCAAGCAGACTCCCCTCTGAGCACAGAGCCCGACGGGGACCCATTCCCAGGACCCCAAGATCATGACCCACACAGAAATCAATAGGCGATTGCTCAGCCAACTGAGCCACGCAGGAGCCCCTAAAATGTCTTCCTTAAAACAAACCATGTGCGTTGTAATGGCCTCTATCCAGTGCTTGGGTGAGGAAGGTGGAAAAACGGCTCTTCTTGTGAGCAGGTGGCACTCGTAACTGGCTCTGTGGTCTTCGGGGGTTTGCCTGAGGCTCTCTGGCGTGTCTTTTGAGGTACCTCAAAACAGAATAGCCCAACAGGGGAGTGTGGCCAACACAACCAGAAAAGGCGAGGTATTAACCTGGCCCTCAGACTATCTCCCGATTTTGCTTCTACCTCGTGGGAAAGTAGGATCTCCCAAAGGCAGATCTCAGGGGGCAGCCGTCTGAGAGCGTTTGGGGCACAGGTGTGCTCTGGTCGCCCTGGCCCTGTGGCTGGTAGCAGGTTTCTCAGAGGGGCTTCGGGTGCTGCTGACAGTCCTGACCGAAGGCCAGCCAGCTGGCTCAGTACCCCGCTCCCAGGACGCGTGTGTGCTCTCCCAGGGCCCTGACTCTCTCCTCCCTTTTCTCTCATTGCTTCCTTGGTTTCAGTGGGGATGCTTGGCTCGGGATTTGGCAACCTTGGTCTCACGAGATGGGGAGAGTCCCACTCACTTGTTGAAATGTTTCTTCTAGTTGACTTACCATCCTTTGTGACCCACTTTGAATGGGACATGGCGAAATACCCCGCGAAGCAGCCGCTGGTGAGCGTGGTGGACACGCTAGCGAAGGTGAGGAGGGCCTTCTCTCGGGGGACAGTTAAACTTCGGTGACCAGGGCGATCTGACCACCTGAGGGAGATCTACATGGCCTTGGGGCCCTGGCGGTGGTGCCAAGAGGGACCTTCTGGGAGGCCAGAGTCAGGAGGCCGGGTGGAGTCCCCTTCCTGCCAGCCCTGACCAGGCCCCGGTGCCTTTCTGAGGTGTGGCCTTCCATGCCCTGGGCAAGGCCAGAGACTTTGGGGTTTCAAGGCGGGCATCTGCCCTCCCTCCATACCTCTTCTGGCCCTGTTGGCCGCCCGGCGGCGGCATCCACAGGACACTCCCCTGACATGCCTGGCCCAGACCCTGGTGCCCCTTCCGTGGGTTCTGTCCAGCTCGCTACTTTTTGAAAGGTGCTGAGGGAGCTGCTCAGCCCCATCCTGACCTACTAACAAGAGCCTCATACCGCCCCCACCACATCCCAGAGTGATTGTCTACTTGACAAGAACTGTCTGCTTCCGTGGAGAGTCTGGCTTAGGAGCCCTAACTCCTGGGGGGCGTTTCTGGAAGGCATCACCAGGGGTCCTGCCCCTGCTTTGAGGAGCCTGTGACAGTAGTGAGGCCGGTAAGGGGCACCTTGTGGCACGGTCGGTTGAGCCTCCGACTCTTGGTTTTGGTTCAGGTCATGATCTCGGGTTGTGGGATTGAGCCCCACATCAGGCTCTGCGCTCAGTGGAGAGTCTGCTTGGGACTCTCTTTCTTTCTCTCTGCAACCCCCTCTAAAAATAAATGAATAAATCTTAAAAAAACAAAAACAGGCCAGTAAGCGCTGCACCCCACAATTCTACCATCTTGGTAAGCGATGGCCTCCAGCTTTCACTTTGTAAATAAAAGCACTGTAGCTCAAGTCTCTGGGGACGTTGGGTGTCTCGTGGACTTGTTGACTCCTGTGTGTCTCACTGAGGGTGAGCTCTGATGGTGGGTGACTGCCTGTCCCCCTCCCTCTGCCATACACTGAGCCAGCCCCTCGTGGGCCATGTCTCCTCCTGGCCCGGGTGGCTGGGAGAGAGACTCAGCCAGGCCAGGAACAAAGCCTTCCTGTTGTCTCCTCAGACCACAGAGCCACCCAGGTGTGTCTGGGCGGGTCAGGTGCAGGAGATGGGCCACTGGGACCCATCTGAGTGCAGCCCTGTGCGCTCCCCACAGCAGGCTGGTGCCCGGCCCGTGTCTCTGGGAACTCGGGTGGGGCCAGAAGGCTCCGGAATCTGGGTGCGGCTCCTCGGGCACCGCTTACGCCACAGAGGTCCCAGCCCCTCCAGGGACAATTGGGCAGTGATTCTGGAAAGCCCTCTGAGGAGGGGCGGCCCAGCGCACCTGTGCCAGGTGTGGCTTCCGGGAGGTTCTGTGCGCCTCTGCCACCAACGTAGAGGTGCACCCTGCATTGCTGAGGCCAGGCCGAGCCAGGCAGGCGGTCAGGCCATGCTCTGAGTCCACTTGGGACTGTGCTCACTGGCGGGGCTGCCCCAGGGAGGCCGGCTAGCGATGAGGACCCCGGGACACGTTGGGGGGTGGTCAACCGAGAGGGGAGCAGAGCAGTTGTAGAGGACGGAACTTGGCTTCTGTCTAGTCCGGGCGCCCAGAGAGTGACTTCGGCAGGAAAGCAGGGAGAGGGAGGAGAGCGGTGGTGTTGATAGCACTCCCCGTGTGCCCAGAACCACGCAGGGCTCTCCTTCCGTGTCACCCCTGTGAGGAGGACCCCTTTCCTCTGACCTCAGATGAGGAAGCTGGCCGAGAGGTTAAGTGGCTTGCTCCGGGACCTGGGATGGGAATGCAGGTCTTGGGCTCTGTGTGTGTTTGAGAGAGAGAGAGAGACAAGGCTTCCCAAGGAAGCCCGGGGCCAGCTCCACTGCAGGGAACCAGCTCTTTGAGGCTCTGAGTATTGGCCCCCGGAGGTTGTCCTGCACCAGGACCCCATGTGTGATGCCCTCAGCCCTGGTTCAGGTCTGTTCCTCCAATGGGAGGTCCTTCACGGGGAGAGCCTTGGGGACACAAAAGTCGCTGTGTTGCTGGGCATTGAGTAGCACTCGCCAGATGTCCAAGCAGGTCTCCCAGCCTGGGAGGAGCCTTGTGCTGACGTGGTCAGGGCCAGGCCCACAGACCCTCCCGACCACTGGGAACTGAGCCCACCCGCGTCCCTTAAAGAAGAGGCTCAAGGGTGGGGAGGGTTTCGCCCCCTCCCAGCCCTGCATTGTGGCAGCATGACCTGTCACCTGGTCAGGGACCCAACCCACCTCGGTGTCAGTCTCCAGAGGCCTGGTCATGCTGCAGGTTCAAAAAAGCCCCCAGACCTCACGGGTGTGACACGGCGCAGGGTTTATTCTTCAGCACGCACACGTGCAACCAAGGGTGGGGGTTCCACGCCGACCCCCTCGGGGCGCTGGCGGCTGGTGTCTCCACCACCAGAAACATCTCTGGGTTCTGCGGGTGGGTCCGGGAGGCTCTCGGGGCTTCTGCCAGCAAGACCCACACCTCAGAGCCCGGCTGAACGCACGTCCTCAGCACTGCCTGTGTCGGCCACCCTCCCGGGGGTCACAGACACGGGTGGGTGGGGGGGACCCGGTCCCCTGGAGGAGCTCCGGCTGGGGCAGGTGGGCCTCGCCTTGCTGAACAGCCTGCTCTGCAGATTCTGGGAGCTCTCCGTAATTCCGTGGGCCTGAGCTCAGAGAGGGCCAGACCTGACACCAGCTCACAGGCAGGCTGAGTGCGAACTGGTTCCAGAGCCCTGGTTCCTCTCGCCATCCACTGGTTTCCAAACACCCCTCTGCAAGTTTTCATTGGCTTGTGGTGAAACCAGAAAAGGAAGGAAGAGGTGTAGGATTTTTTTGTTTGATTTTTTCCTTTAAAAAATAATTATATATGTGTATGTATGTATAATATTAATTTTAAAAATCAAGACTGTGGATTGTACCTGAGTTGGTTTCTTGGTTATGATCGCGTACTGTTGTTATGTAAGACGGGTACATGTGGTCTCTGTGTCCTATTTTTTAAAATATTTTACTTTTTCATGTTTTTAAGTAATCTCTACACCAAACGTGGGTCTTGAACCCATGACCCCAAGATCAAGAGCCGCATGCCCCACCGACTGAGCCGGTGGGGTGTCCCCCTGTGTCCTCTTTCTGTAATTTCCCATGAAATCTGTCATCTTTTCAAAGGAAAAGATTTTAAAAAATTGTAAAAAAATATATATATAAATCTTACTTTAAAAATCAGACATATCAAGATAGGAGGATAAAAACGTGAAAGGCTTCCCGTGACAAGACCCCTCCCTTTCCTCCCCCGCTAAAGGTGACCGCCGTGTTAACCGTTGAAAGTGGATCCTCCCGTCTCTATACGAACGAAATCTGTGTATTTCAGGTCAGGATTGTCCGGTCCCTCAGGCTGCCTCCGTGTTGTCGTGTGCTGATGCTGGGGTATCCGTGTCAGCAGTGTTCGTTGGCGTGGAGCGGGGGTCCCACGGGGGCGACTGCGCGCCACCAGGGAGCTGGCCCCAGACATGGGGCTCTGGGTTGGGAGGAGGGGTGCGGCCCCTCAGGAGCTGCGGGGGTCGGCCCTGCGCCCGCTGCGTGCGGGAGGCTCCCGCGATCATCTGGAAGGCCACGCCGTGTCCCGTACCGTGGGGTACCCCCTTTGTTGAACCAGTTCTGTACTGATGGGCTTCACTGCCCAAGTGTGAGCCCCGGGGGGCAGGGGCTGTGTTTTGAGGGCTTCCGGTGAGGTAGGCCATGGTGGGCATTTGCCTTTCTCTGTTTCGAGCCCTTGGGGAGGACATTACCGCCCTGGCCACACAGATGGGGCCACTTAGGCCAGGCAGCCACAGAGCTAGGCTGTGGACCCGGGCTTGTCCCGTTTCCCCTCTTTCCACAACATGTGTGTCTGGGCCCGCTGCAGGCGGGGGTCTGGGACGCCCTCCCTGAAGCTCGAGAACAGGGGATCTTCTTCGTGCCAGACCCGTGACCTGCGTCCAAGCCGAAAGGAACCTTCCTACCTACCTACCCCTTCCTGTGGGAAGGGGCTGTGGGGCCCAGCTGAGCCTGGGACCGGGCACTGGCGGGGTCGCGCCGCAGTGGTCCTCCCTAGAAGCCAGGATGGGGTCAGCTGGGCTGGCCTGGCAGTGTGAGAAGGGCTTGCGATCAGAAGATTCTCTCACTGAGTGATCCTGAAACAGCCATGCCTGTCTCGGGCCACGGTATCTGCAAAGTGGGGCTGTGAAGCTCTCCCCTGCTCCCTGCAGGCTACTGTAGGGCCACCCGCTGGCATGTGTGCGAGAGCAGTGGGAGAAAACTGAGCATTCCTGACCGGTGGGCAGCTTTGATTATTACTTATTCCGAAGTGTGCCATGAACAGTTTAGGGCCATTTTGAAAAGTTTGGCCACCTCTTTTGCCTTTCCAAATAGCAACTGGCACAGATCGAGACTGACCTGAAATCCCGAACAGCCACCTACAACACTCTGAAGACAAACCTGGAGAACCTGGAGAAGAAATCCATGTGAGTATCCGAGTTTCTGCACTGCCGGAGCCGGGCTGGGGCAGGGGCTGGGCTAGGGCAGGGGCCCGGGCTGGGGCAGGAGTGTGCCTTTCAGATCACTGGGTGAACCAGGTCTGTGCCTGGGTTGAGAGAGAGACAGAGAGCCAGCCAGCCAACCAGGCAGATGCCGAGGCACTCCTGCCTCTTTGGGAGCTGCATGCTGGGAGGGGAGGCCTTGGTGCATATGACCGGGTGGAAAGGCCCAAGCAGGGGTGATGGCACCTCCCTGCCTGACCCAGAGAGGGATACCATGCTGCCTACCCCTCACCCCCTTCCCTCCCTCTCCCAACCTCCCCAGGTTACTGAGAACACCTGGGGTGGGTCCCAAGACCTTTCCCCCAGGGAGCTTTACAGAGGACACTCTCTGCATAGTCAGGGGGCAGCCTGACTGGTAGAGCCCGGCCCTTTGTGAGGGCCCCCAGGGGCAGTGGGTGCTGCAACCCAGAGCAGAGCAACCGCAGGGACTCTGGTGCCTTCTTCATTCAAATGAAGGACCTCCACGTGAGAGACAGGGAGCAGACTGTGTGGCCCACCAGCCACCAGTCACCAAGATGGTGGGAGGTGTCTGGAGGAAAGCAGAAACCCAGTGTCATGATGCCAACAACTGCCTTGTAAGGTAGTGAGTGCCTTGTTGTGGGAGGCATGTCAGGAAAGGGCAGTTGAGCTCCCGCCAGGGAGTCTGGAAGGGGCTCCTGAGTAGGACTGAGTTGGCATGGAGGATCCTCCCAGTCTCCCCAGATTCTGGCTCTGATTCTGTTGGCAGTTGTCTGAAGATCCTCCAAGGAAGGGCAGTGCCCAGGGGCCTTCAGAATCAGCTGTCCCTCTGAGTAGCTCACCCTCCCTCCCTTTTCCGCCTCTCTCTTCGGGTGGTCCCTGGGCCAGCCTTCTTTTCTTGTGAAAGAAGCATATAGTACATGGAATTTAAAACCAAAAAGGGAGGGGCGCCTGGGTGGCTCAGTCGTTAAGCGTCTGCCTTCGGCTCAGGTCATGATCCCAGGGTCCTGGGACCGAGCCCCGCATCGGGCTCCCTGCTCCGCAGGCAAGCCTGCTTCTCCCTCTCCCACTCCCCCTGCTTGTGTTCCCTCTCTCGCTGTGTCTCTGTCAAATAAATAAATAAAATCTTTAAAAAAAAAAAAAAAAACCAAAAAGGGAAGGATGCACTTCAACTAGAAATAGTCGTTATTGGTGGCATGACTTGCCATCAGAACTAAATGGGCATCACCTGAGTTTCGCTGCATCCTTGGCTCTACGAAGGAATGAGATGGGCAAAGGGCGGGGTGCCGATGGCAGAGAGCGCCCTAAATGGTGACCTTGGCTTAGATCTGTTGTGGCATTAACCATTTACCTGCTGGGCCATCGACTTGTTGCATCACCGACTTGTGGACTCCTTGAGAATCGTTTGGGGCTTGAGCAGACATCTGGTCCGGCCTCGTCAGTCAGCTGATGAAGAAGCTCAGCGGCTGATTCACCGCAGTGCTGATCTATTGATCACTCCCCTGAGTGAAGGGGGGGGTGGTGAAGCTGTTCCTGCCTCCTTCGCCTGTTATTCTTCTTCCGATAAACGTGTATTAAGCACCTACTACACTCTCAGGCTTTATGGCAGGCCCTAAAGGTAACAAAGCAGAAGACAATGTAATTTCTGCACTCGGGGAGCTCATAGTGACTCGCTCAACAAGTATCTGTGGAAAATCTGCTTTGTGCTAGGAGTTCAGGCATAAACCAGACAGAGCAGACCTGACAGTGGAACGGTAACGAGGTAGGGGGCACAGGCCCTGTGCCTTTGGAGAGGGTCCTAAGGGACTTAGCAGTGAAGGCACAGGTGGGAGAGATGAGGCTGGAGGTGGCGTGTTGCCTAAGGCCTTGGCCTTGGGAGTGCTTGAGAGCCATTCGCCGGGAGTGTCATGTGCTAATACATTAGCTGGTACCGTGGCCGGGGTGCCCAGGCTACAGACGGTCTCCAAGCTATCCCTTGGCCCATTTGCTGCTACAATAGCCTTGAACCATGTGCTAAAAATACCATGACCTCTCTGGAGACCGGGTTCCACTGGGCATGAAGCAAGCGATTGCAGGTGAATGTCCCCTGGCGGCTGGACCTGGGAGGTGTGAAAAGTGAAACGGAGCTCTCTCTGGGCCCGTCTCCGCTCAGGACAGCTCGAGTGTTGACACTTGAGTAACTCAAGCTGCCTGCCACCCATAGTCCCCTCCCAGCAGTCCCAGGGGCAGCGCAGGTGATGGCGGTGTTGGATTCCGGTGCCCCTCGGGGGACTAGTGAGGGGCCCTCCGGCCCTGCTAGCCACAGCAGCTCCGGCCACCCAGAACTAGGGGGTCGGGGGCACACTCAGCCCGGGGATCCGCCACTCTGGGGGGACATACAAGCCGTCGTGTTTCCTGCCTGTCCTCCTGACCCCGGGCCTGTGTGTTGTGGGTGTGCGGGGGTCCATGCGTCCCAAATGCCCAGGCCCACGAGGCCTCCCTCTGCCTTTTCGCTGATCCTGCCCCCTTTGTTCCGCACGGATTCAGGGGAAACCTCTTCACTCGGACATTGAGTGATATCGTGAGCAAAGAAGACTTCGTGTTGGGTTCCGAGTATCTCATCACACTTCTGGTCATCGTCCCCAAGTAAGTGGCCCGGGAAAGGGGGTGGTGGGGGGCCTCAGCCTTTGTTGGTGATCATGGAAGGAAAGTGGCCCTGCCCAGCAGAGAGAAAGGGGGGCACTCCATGGCCTGGACCCCGGGGGCAGGAACAGGAGCAGGATGACAGTGTCTATGGGGTAAAGCAGTGACAGAAGCTGCCATTTCTTGAGCAGCTGCCGTGTGCCACCAGCCTTAGACAGGGAGCTCATTTCACTCACAGCAAACCGGGGGTGGCTGTTAATCCCTTGTCCAGAGGCAGAGAACTCAGTTGGCTTCTCCAAGGCCACACAGGGTCAGGACTAGAAAGCTCCCAACACGCATCTCTGGCTGAACCCCTCACATGGGCCCTCTATGGCGTCTGGGGCCCTTGTGGGGAGGCTGGGTCCAGGACCGGGCTGGGGAGGGAGGCGGTGTCCAGTGCCCATGGCAGGGCCTTGGGGTGTTTGGGGCTCTCTGGCCCAGTCCTGCTCATCTCAGTCCCTTGGGAAAAGGGGTGTACAGTGTCCTAAACACTCGGAACACCCCCAGCCATTCTTCGGAAGTCACTGAATGATTCTGTATTCTTGCAGACCAAGCTACACACAATGGCAAAAAACCTACGAATCCCTCTCGGACATGGTGGTCCCTCGGTCGACTAAGTAAGACCCCAGCTTGGCACCCAGGCACCAAACATGCTCTGAGGACGCAGGGACCCTCAGCCCTCCCCACTTAGAGCTCACCAGAGTCCCTCAGCCTGGAGTTCCTTTGCAGCCACACCCCCAGCCATGTGCCAGACTCCCTCTATCTTTTAGAATGCTGCTTCGCTTCCCCCTCTTCCAGGAAGCCCCCTCTGGCTACATGCCTGCAGAGATCCCCCTCACCACGCTCTGCTCTGCTTTCTCAGCTCAGGTCGATGCTTCCCTGTCTGAGGGTCAAGCAGGGGCCTGACTCTGATCTCTGATGGCCACAGAGCATGAGCAGCTGGGGGGCAGCTGGGGGGCAGGGTGGGGAGCAGAGTCAGTCTCAGCATCTGGCCTACTGGGGTCAGAGCAGGAGTGGCCAGGGAGGGCTGGGAAAGTGGCAGGAAAAGAGATACAGGAATATAGTCAAACCATGAGGACCATGCACGTGGGGACACCAGCACGTCGGGACTACACACTGCGGCAGGGGTGGGTCTCATGGTTCGGTGTGGAGCAAGAAAAGCCAGCAGCTGAAAAGTACACCCGGCGTGAAGCCATTTACCTGAGGTCGAGAAATGGACCGGACTAAACCCTACGTGATCTGGGCATGTGCAGGCGCACAGGAGAGTCGAGGGGCTGTTTGGGGGATCAGGGCAGGGAGCGACACGCAGCCAGGGGCGGGCATGGGGCTTCTGCGGCGTGCGAATGGCTTTAGGTCTTAAGTGGGGCGGCCAATGCATAGTATTTGTTATTCTCTATACCTTCTCGTATGTCTGGAATAGTTTGTAATTTAAAAAGACTGGGCGGTGAGTCTGGGCCAGCTTCGCCGGTCGTCTGCTTCTCGGCACACAGCGCGTAGGGTGAGGGCAGCCCTGCCCACGCCGCTCTCGGCTCCGAGGCCCCCCTCCGGCCGGGGAGGCTCTCCCAGGGTCACAGCTCACAGGAGATGGCAATCAGGAGCTACACTGAGGGGTGCAGGGAACTGGACAGCCATAGCCTGGGGTCACGAGGGGAGGCCAGAGGAAGAAGCCAGGGGCGTCTGCCGAGAGAGGGGGAAGGCAGACAGATGGGCAGAGGGGCAGGTCCTCCAAGCCCGACAGCCTGGCAGAGGCCACCAATACTCTGCCACACTGGCTTTCTGTGGCCACGTGCTGGGGGACCCCTCCACAGAGGCCACCTCAGTTGATTGGGGCGGGGGGGGGGCGCTCTGAGTGACAGGAAAGGGGACCTGGCCAGCATGCCCATGAGACCTGCCCGGGCTTGGCGAAGGGCCTCCCTTAGGTCTTCTGGCCAAAAAGCCTGACTCAAAGATGCTGACCACTGGCTCCCGTGACCGCTGTGTTGGGACAGCGCCCCCTGAGGCCCTGTGCTGCGGCGTGCCTTGGAGGCTGGCTGATTGGAGCATGGGGACATTGACCGTGAGGTGGACATGGTGGGATGGTTTTCACCGACTGGAGTCTGCCCCGCTTTGTTCTGAGCGCAGCGCATCAGAGCCCGGGCACCCCCGCCCCCTACACACACACACAGGTGACTGAGACGGGAGTAGCTCAATCGCTCGGGCATCTCTCAAACTGGAGCCAAACTGGGGGTCTCTGCACCTTGAGGGCCTGCGTTTAGATCACCCAGAGGCCCCCGAGGCCTCAGCCTGGAGGGGGAGTGGAAGGAGCAATAGCAGGTGGTAGAGAGCACCCAGCCCAGAGTCAGGAAGTCATAAGGGGCGCCCGGTTCCCTGCCCTCGGGTGCTGGTGGCGGCGGGGGGCGGGGGCCTGCCCACGGGCCACTGGGCTGATGGGGACGGAGCTGCCCCACTGCGGGGACCCACCTCCCCAGGGAGATGGAACAGGCCTCTCCGGGCCAGCTCCGACCTCGGGTGTGGTGAGGCTCCCAGTGAACAGATGCTTCTCTCCACCAGACTGATTGCCGAGGACAACGAGGGCGGCCTCTTCACGGTGACCCTGTTTCGAAAAGTGATCGAGGATTTCAAAACCAAAGCCAGAGAGAACAAGTAAGGGCTGGCCTTGGTAGGCTCCTCCGGGTTTGGGCTGTCTCCGCTGGAGGTTGGTCTCCGCTCTGTCTGGAAGCTTCCTGGTGAAAGCCTCTCATTTGCTTGTTTTAAGGTTCACTGTCCGTGAATTTTACTATGATGAGAAAGAAATTAAAAGGGAAAGGGAAGAGATGAGCAGGTTGCTGTCTGATAAGAAGCAACAGTATGTGAGTAGACTACACGGGCGGGCGGGCTTCATGCAAGAGCACCCCCCTCCCTTGGGGGCCATGTGGCCCGGGAACGTGTGTTCCCGTGGGGCTGCCAGAGTGGGGCTGGGCAAGGGAGAGGGGCACCCAGGTGCACCTTCCCGGGGAGAGCTCCCGAGTCCTGGCAGCGCCCCTCCAGGAGGGGACTCCAAGCCCCACTGGGCAGCTGAGAAACTGAGGCTCTGGGAGGTCAGGAAGCATTTCCCCCAGGAAGAGAAGACTGGGGCAGGGCAGGCAGGGGTCCCTATGCCGAGCGTGGGCAGCCCTGTCCCCTCGGTCACCTTGCTGGCCTCAGCAGTGGGGTTCCCCAGGCGGTGATGGGACAGCTTCTGTCGTCAGCACTTGTCTTTATTCCCCCATGCTTTTTGCAAAGAGTGGGTGCTTATCCTTGAGATTTCTGACAACAGCCGCTCAGAAACCTTCCGTGTGCACGGGCAGCTGAGCTCACAAGGGAGCAAACCAGGCTTTGAGTTTGGGCATGTGAACAGCGTAGCCTTGGGAGAGTCACTCTGCTCTGTGGGATGGGCCCCTTCCTGCTACGGAGAAGCCGAAGCCAGGTGGCTCCAGGGGCCCCCCTGGTGGAATGTCTTCAGGGCCCCTCTGCCCCCCATCCCCACTGGGAAAGGTTCTCAGAAACTTCCAGTTCAGCCTCTAGCGTAGAGAGAAAGGGAAGAATGAATAGAATGTACTTCAGGCCTTTTGGAGGAAAGCCGGTGTGTAAACATAAAGCTGTAAGTATGTGCTTAGGTGAAGAGCAAGCTGGTGGAATGGGCACGTCCGGCTCGACCTCTCTGGTCAGTGGCCTTTCCACAGGGACTGCAGACAAGCCTCCCCCCCTCAGAAGTGAGCAGCAGCATGGGGTTCCACAAAACGGGGTTCTCAAAGCCCCAGTGGACGGGCCCATCCCCTCTGAGGACGAGACAGGAGCTCATCATGTAATAGTGCCTGTGGGGGGGGTTTAACCCTGCCCCCAAGCATAAACTGTGTGTGTGTGTGTGTGTGTGGATGTGAGTGTGTGCATGCCAAGTGGACACACCCGTTTCTGATCCTCAGTCTGCCAGGCTTTGGGTTGAGGGCTCTTCCTGACACAAAGGGCTGAGGCGGCACTGGGCCCCGAGGCCTCAGACCCCGCACGCCCAGGCAGGGAAGGTGTTCAGCAACAAGAGCCGTAAAACCCAAAGCGTTGTTCTCCTTGGCCTTAGCTCACCCCAGACCTTCATCAGTCAGGAGCGCTCAGTGGTCTCTCTCTAGCCTTGTCCCTGCTGGCTTCGGTCCTGGCCCCGGGCCCCCTACCCAGTGTCTCTGCATGGGGGGGCTAGACAGTGGCAGCTTTGACAAATGTCCGGGCGGGAGGCCCTGCCTGCAGGACAGGTGGTCAGGTCGTGCCTTTGGCACTAGCCTTGGCGCTGGTACAGACCCCCTGAGGATCCAGGTGACACACAACAGCTCGACAGCTGCCGCCTGGGCCTCAGGTTGCCACCTGCGACTTCCTTCCTTCTGCACCCCAGCGCTGCCCCAGGAGCCCTTCCAGGGTCTCTGTGGAGGGGAAGTGCAGCTCCAGAGGAGACACACGAACTCGGAACCATTTAGCTCCTTGCAAGGCTCAGGCTGTGTGCCACTAAGCGGGGGGGCGGGCAGCCACTGAGCAGGGGGGCAGCCGGAGGCAGCCCTGCCCTGGCTTCCGAGGCACCTCTTTCCCCTTTAGCTTGTGGGGCTGTGGCTATGACCAGCAACCTGCACCGTCTTTGGTCCTCGTCTCCCCGAGGGGACAGGCTAGGTCCTGGGGTGTCGGCTCCCTTGGAGAGCACAGGGAGGGATTTTCCTGTGCTTTCTCCCCGTCTGCAAAAAAGGAGGATAAAGGGTGGTAGGTCCTACCAGCGTGCCTGGCTCATTCTTTGTCCATAGCTTCCATGGGTGCCGCGGGGCTCCCATGGCCGGACGGGGTGGAGCCGCACCCCGCGGGGGGAGCTGTTTCCGCGAACAGCTGCCTCCTGGGGACGGTCCCTGGCCCGTCCGCCCGTGGAGGGGAGGTGCGGACCGAGGCCAGGCAGGGGGAGGGACGTGGGAGCTGACCCCGCTGTCAGCGGCCGGCCCTGTCGCTGCAGTTAGGGGACCCGGACACCTGAACCCCCCCCACCCCATCTCCAGTGCAGGCAGCACGTGAGTCCGGCGGGCGGGCCGGCATTCCCAGCTCGCCTTCACGCGCTCTTCCGGCGATGCGAGTTATTTCTGTTTGTTGTGTTGCCTGTTTGCTGAGAGATTAATAAATCATTTCTGTGCCTTTAGCAAACTTCCTGTGTTGCTCTTAAAAAGGGATCATCCACCTTCCCGGACCACAAGGTTAAGGTAACCCCGCTAGGTAACCCCGCTAGGCCCGCTGCGGGGCAGACGGACAGAGAGAGAGAGAGTGAGGGCGAGGGCGAGGTAAGCAGCACCCCGCAGCCCTGGGGCTCCCCCGCTCGCATGTCCTCGCCAGCGCAGGCATCCTCTGAGAAAACAGCGCCTTGCGTTTTCTGGTACGCAGTGCGGCTTTCGGCTTTCAAGGGCTTAAATCAAGGAGCCCAGAATCCTGCCTCCCTCCTCCCCTGGAGGGCGTCTTTGGAGCTGCACCCCCGCGCCCCGGCAGTGGATGGTGCTTGTTGGCCACGGTGCCTCTGCCCTGCGTGGGGGTGGCTGCAGCTGGTGACGGGGGCAGGCCCTGCTGGGTGGTGGCGGTCGGGCAGCTCGGCTCTCCCCCACCCCCCTCCCCCCGGGCTGCCCTGGCTGGACCCACCCCTGACCCTTGCGGGCAGTTGGAGGTGTCGGTGGGAGCTCAGAGCCCTTGCTGTAGGACTCCCGGACCCCCCGAGGACCGGCCACACCAGCATTCGTGACAGCTGCTGCGGCCCCGAGGGGTTGTGGCCTTGTGAGGTGGGCTCGGCGGAGCCCCCTGGAAGCGGCAGCTGGGGGAATGATGCTAGAACGGCGGGGGGGGGGGGGGCGGCGATGCGTTCCTCAAAGCTGGGCTCCCTGGCAGCACGGTGTCGGAGGGAAGCCTGTCCGCTGTCTGCCCACGGCCCTGAGGTCAGGGGCTGCTGAGCCCCCCCGCCCCCTGCAGCCTGGGCTCTGGTGGCCCCGCGCATGTGCCAGGTGGCTGGCCCGCTGAGCTTGCCGGGCCCCAGACGCCCTGGAGGACGTGGGCCTGGGCCTCGCCTGGGCCTGGGCCAACCGACTCGCTGCTTCTGCTGGCCGCCGGCCCTGTCTCCGCGCAAGGCTTGCTCTGTCAAAAGCCGTGTCGTCCTTGGCCTGGCGTCAGGCGGGGCCGCCAGCAGGCATCACCCGCTCTCCTGTCTCCGCAGGGCCCGCTGCTGCGCTGGCTCAAGGTGAACTTCAGCGAAGCCTTCATTGCCTGGATCCACATCAAGGCGCTGAGGGTGTTTGTGGAGTCCGTGCTCAGGTGCGTGGCGGCCGTGCCCAGCCCGGGCTGCCCTGCTTGGGGGCGGGGAGCAGTCAGCTCTGGGGACCCCCCGGGACCGCCGCCTGCCCCGTCCAGCCCCCCTCCTCGGGGCCCAGGCCCTCCTGCCCTGTCCCCGTGCTGCTCCTGGCTCTTGGCGACATGCTCAGGATTTCCGGAGTCCCCCAAGCCTTCGCTCAGCCTGGCGGGCCCGCGGTCCTGTGCTCTGCATCCGTTTCCTGCCGGACCTGGGGCAGGGGTCCTGCCCTCTCCAGCAGGTTCTGTGCGACTCCTGGAAGAAATACCAGCACTGTCCTTGACCTCTGAGGCCCAAGGCAACACAAACACTAAAACCTAAACCACAGAGCGAACTAATGACAAAAGTTTTGCCTTGTTTTTTAACAAAAGTGAAATGGGTTTGCTGTGGAGAATTAGGAAACTATAAATAAGCACCAACAGTGAGTAAAAATCTGTACTTTTAACACCGAGAGAGAGCGCTGCTGGCTAACTAACACGCGGGCGTGAACCCCTTCAGGAGTTTTTCTTCCTCTGTGTTTTGCTTTTTTTCCTAGTTTACAGATACGCCTATTTTTTACTAAATTTTTACAAAAATGGAATTATACAGGAAATATCTTTTGAAGCCTGCTTTTCTCCTGTTTTGAAGATGCCCCGTGTCATGAGCTCTGGGGGCAGACCTTGGTAGCACCGCACACGACTGGCTGGACACACTTTTTCCGGAAGCTTCCACCCCTGCTTCTTGGCCTGCTCTGGCCCACAGGCTCCAGCGCTTCCCTGGCCCTCCGAGCCTCCGGAGTGCTCTCCCCGGCCCCTTCCCCTGCCTGCACAGCGGCCCCCCACCTGGAGGCCCGCTCCTGCTTTCCTTTCTCTGCCTGTGCTTCTTGCATCTCCCGGTCCTGCCGCTCGCCAGACACATCTGGCTCCTCTTCCCTCCCAACCTGGCCTCACGTCCTTCCTGACCCCAGGCCCCAAACCTCAGGGCTCGGACGCTCTGCTCCCTCATCCCCGCTTGCCTCCCCGGCTCCCTGTGCCCCCACAGCGCCCTGGACGAGCCATCCATCCTGCCTCCGCTTTCTCTCTCGCCTTCGTCTCCCGCCTTGCTGGCCCAGCTGTTGCCACAGGCTCTCATCCTCCACATGGCTGCCAGTGTGGTTTTGTTCACACAAACTGGTGGCTGCCAGGTGCGGTTTTGTCCAAACACAATATGGCGGCTGCCAGGTGCGGTTTTGTCCAAACACAATATGGCGGCTGCCAGGTGCGGTTTTGTCCAAACACAATATGGCGGCTGCCAGGTGCGGTTTTGTCCAGACACAGATCAGATCTCACCGTGGCTCCTCCCCCTCCCCCACCCGTCTCAGAGGCCTGGAATGGCACGGAGTGTGGCCCCGTGTTGCAGGGTGTACTCACGCTACCCTGGAGGGTTCCAGCTGTCTGTAGTGTCGACAGGTCTCAGACTGACCTGCTTGCCTCAAAAATCAGTGGTTCTCGGGCCCAAGAGTGTGGATGCCCATTTGCTCGAGAGAGGTAGAGATAGATGTCCTTAATATCTTAAGCTGGATAAAACTGTTTCCCCTAAAAGAAATAATTGTTTTTTTTAAAGATTTTATTTATTTATTTGATGGACGGCACAAGCAGGGGGGAGTGGCAGTCAGAGGGGGAGAGAGCAAGGGAGCCTGACACGGGGCTCAATCCCAGCATCCTAGGATCAGGACCTGAATCAAAGGCAGACACTTAACTGAGCCACCCAGGCGCCCCTGTAGAAGTAATTCTTTACAAGACTATCAATGTAGGACTTCTTCTTACTGTATCTGTATTTTTCCTGAATACAGTTGTAATATATGAACACTGTTAAAAAAAAAAAACTAAAAAATTAAAGTTCAGAAATACGTACTGTGGAGGAAGTTCCTCACAGTCCTCCTGCCTGCAGATAATCACAGTTACGGTTTCGAGACTCTTCTTGCCCCATTTATCTTTAATGTTCTGCAGCTTGCTTTTTTCATCTGCTTTCAATTCTTACCAGTGTGTGTGGAGCTACCTGATCCTTTTTAATGGCTTTTCCATATTCTATTGTATGGAGAGATCATAGTCCAAGAGAACAGGTTAACCAGCAAGTGTGTTAGCCGCAAACAGACGGTGAAGTTCACCTGCTTGCCTGTTCCTCTGACCCCCAGTTGGCACTTGGTGCTGTCTTCCTCCTTGCCAAGCTGATTTGTTCTTCCCGCCTATGTGGGGGCTGCGGCCAACTTGCTCGCTACCTCTGCCACTCAGCCCAGAGTTGAACAAAGAGTGGATGCTAAATGTTCGTGGACTCAATAAAACCAAAGTGAAGTGGACCCCGCCCTCAGCTGAGGAAGTGCTAGTTCGCCTTCAGGGTGAAGGGAACCAGGGGTTTCAGTCATCTGGGATGAGAGCGGAGCTGGCCAGGCAGCTAGCTGGTTAGTCGGGCTCCAGGGAGAGATGCTAGTGGGGAACAGACATTAGGGAGTCCTAATGGTGGCTCTGCGGGTGCATTCATTTAGGGAGAGTCGTATAGAGGGAACGTACTGAAGGGGCGCCTTGGGGGACCTCCAACATAAAAGGGGTGGAGGCAGAAAAGCCCATGAGGAAATCCGAGGCAGGAGGAGGGAGTGGCTGACGAGTCAAAGGGAGTGGAAGCCTAAGGATTTATGTGTCCCTGCAAATGGGCCATGAGGTCATTGGTGGGCCAAGCCCGAGTATGATGGCCGAAGGATGACTGGGTGACACAGGACACTGGATACTCTCTCGGGTTTGGAATGAGAGCCTTAGGGAGGAGCCGAGAGGGCACAATGGTGATACGTTAAAGGGAAGGGGGCAGTAGTTGAGAAAGCCTGACGCCCCTTGCAGCCCCGGGGGGGGTGGGGTGGGGTGGCTACAGTGGTCTCGGTGTGGGGGCTGCAGGTGAGGGCTCCCCACCAGGTGACCTCAGCGACCAGGGAGGAGGAGGGTCCTCTACTGAGCGATCCAAGAGGGAGCGCCATGGGGGGGCAGCCTTGAGAATGAGAACAGACTCAGCTGTTCCTGGAAGGCATGTTCTGAGCACAACAGAGAAGGCGTTCCTTTAAATTGATCCAGAGTGGGGGTTCGCAGGGAAAGGACTGGAAGGGCCTGGGAAGAATGTGAAAAGCCCTGAATTCCAGAGTGGGCTAAGAGGCCAAGGGCCTGGAGCCTTTTTTTTTTTTTTTAAGATTTTTTTTATTTATTTATTCATGAGAGAGAGAGAAGAGAGAAGCAGAGGGAGAAGCAGGCTCCCAAGGAGCAGGGAGCCCGATGTGGGACTCAATCCCAGGACCCTGGGATCATGACCTGAGCCGAAAGCAGACGCTTAACCATCTGAGCCACCCAGGCGCCCAGGCCTGGAGCCTTGATGAGGGGGGCGAGGAGCATTCAGCCAGCATTTAACGAAGCATTGAAGGAGGGCCTGTTGCTCTCCAGGATCAGGGACAGAACGGACCCATGCCTCTGGCCTGAAGCAGCTCCCAGGCTGGGAAAGGCAGGAGAGCTCTCAACACAGGGATCCTCGTGAGGGAGGGGATAAACCATCTCCCAGAGCAGCGGGGCAATGACCGCGGTGGAATGACCAGGTCGGAGGACAAAGCAGGGATGGCAGTGATGACCCGGGAGCTGGATGCCCGCCCTTAGTGTCCAGGTCCCCCGCGCTGTGGCCCGTAGATGGAGGGAATGGTCTGGGTGAAGTCGAGGATGTGGAAAGCACTGGGAGTTGGGGTAGGGATTCCGGAGGGAAGCTGCTCGTTCAGGTAAAGATGGTCACAGCCCCTCCGCCCATCTTCCCCAGGAAATACCAGAGCTTTGATGGCAAGGGGAACAAAGGATAGACAAGCCATGGGCCGGGCCATCTCCCCCCACCCCAACCGTGAGCTAGCCCACGTGCTGCCATCCCTGTCAGCACCAGCCAGCTTCTCTGGCACTTGCCTCTTGGAAAGACTATTTTGGCGGGGCTCTGAAATCGGGGTTCTGCTCGCCCAGAGTCCTCCAGAGGCACAGGACTAAGCAGGTCGTAGGCTTGATTTATAGTGAAAGGAGTACACACGTGGTTACAAGCAGCCTCCTTCACAGGTCCTTCTCCTGCAGATGCAACAGACCTTGGTATTTTAGCGGACACTGCGCCATTAACGGCCAGAAATGGCTGTTAACATTCAAGCAGCGGTCAGAGGGAGGGAAAAATACAACAGCCCATCAGTTTTCCTCAAAATATTACCTGATAGAATACAGCCCAATTTCACTGGCTACAACAATTCATAGAATTTTTCATTGTTTTCTTGAGATGCAAAGTTCACTGTTGCAGTGTTTTCACATGACCAATGTTAGCATGTTCTACTAGAGATGTTCCTATCCAGAAAAATCCAATTAGTCTAACCTCTGACCCTAGACATTCCGTTCAACTGAGTTTCATTTTCTTAAGCTATGTTGACCAAGGCCTTTTTCTTACTAGAACTTCTCTGTTTCTTGTCAGGGTTATTTTACCCACATCTGCATCGTAAGTAACTCATTCGCACGTTTTGTCTGTTTGGGAAGGTACGGACTACCGGTCAATTTCCAGGCGGTGCTCCTCCAGCCTCATAAGAAGTCATCCACCAAACGTTTAAGGGAGGTTCTGAACTCCGTCTTCAGACATCTGGATCAAGTAGCAGCTGCAAGTATACTGGATGTAGGTAGAGAATCCAGACAGAAATAGCTGGGTTTCTGCACGGCCGTCAGCCTCTCCACGTGGGAGGCACTTTCCGAAAATGGAAACTGCCAGATTGTTAAGAAGATCTACGTTTCACAAATGTGCAAGCATAACAGGGAAGAGGCCGCGTGTGTGTGTCTGTGTGGTGGGGGTGCACTGTGCGGGGCAGAAAATGCAGTCAGAGCCTAGAGAGCCCCTTCGAAAATTATAAAGACGGCAGCAAACTGGTTTCTGCATTTAGAGCGCCAATACGACATCTTCTTTTTGCAGGCATCTGTGGAGATCCCTGGCCTGCAGCTCAACAACCAAGACTATTTTCCTTATGTCTACTTCCACATCGACCTCAGTCTTCTCGACTAGGGAGATGAAATGGCACCACTGTGCTCTCCTGGTCACGCAGACTCCTACAGACACCTCTTTCCCTTAGCCAGAGAACCCTACAGAATTTAGATTTTTAGAGAAATTGCTCACAAAAGTTAGTTACAGTTGTATTTATTTTTTTTAAGTTACAATAAAGAAGTGCTCAATCCTCTGAATTGTCTCTTGTATTCTAACATAATTCAAACTGCACTTTACATAAACAGGGCCCACCTGGGAGTCGGTAACCTGCTGCCGTATTTCGGGTCTTAACGGCCATCTCGTGAGGGCGGAGGAAGCACGTTAAATCCTGAGCTAACAGTATAATCAGCCGTATTTCCTAACGGTCACTGGGGATGGCCCAAAGACAAAATCCGGGGGGCATGAAAGGCAGTTCTCAACTGACCGCCCATTGCTTTTCACCCTTTCTCTGAACTCACTGTACAGGTCACATCTCGCAGCTGGAACTTGGCCTCGCAGGACGCATGTGAAATCTGTGTTGTGGCAAGCCTCCAGATGGTGTCCTCTGGATCACGGGTTTATAGGGAGGGAAGACATCAGGGTCATCCCTTCATTATATTAATTTACTGGCTAAACATAGGATTCTGATTTTATGATGTGGACACTAATTTCATACATTTATTGACATTGTCCAAAATATTTTATTTTTTTAATGGAAAAAAGCCATTAATATTCGAATGAAAGAATCACATTAAAAAACTTAATATGTAAGAAACAGCTTCCAAGAACATTCAAGCAGCAGTCAGAGGGAGGGAAAAATACGTCAACAGCCCATCAGTTTTCCTCAAAATATTACCTGATAGAATACAACCCAATTTCACTGGCTACAACAATTCATAGAATTTTTCATTGTTTTCTTGAGATGCAAAGTTCACTGCTGCAGTGTTTTCACATGACCAATCAAGTGCTACTTCTTGGTTAAAAAGGCCACTGGTAGACTCATCTGATCGTGAAGAATGTTCCTTCACTGCTCGGGAGATTTGCTCCCAAGAAAAGAAAACTGAAGTCTGTGCCAAGCCTCTCACAGCTCATCTCTTTCCAAATCGTCCAGCTCCACATCACTGAGGTCAATGTCGTCTTCCACGGGAAGCTGGAAAACGAAGCCAACGTGAGGCCCCTCAGGGGCTGGGGGGGAGGCAGGGTGAGGGGCTCAGAGCACACGGGCTCATCACAGAGCGGTCATTTCTAGAGATGCCCCAGATTACAGAGCTCGTTCCTCCCTAATCCACCTCCTGCTTTTAACACTGCCTATTATTTCATAGCTGGAAAAGCTGAGAACTTGGGTGAAGTATGAATTCAACAAATTACCACCCCTTTAACACCAACAGCCATTTAGCTTGTTCTTCTGAGGAAGAAGGGGCAGAAGTGTACTAGAATAAATGCTCATTTCAGAGCTGTAATTTTGTCTCTCAGACACCCAGTAGGTGAATTCCAGGTTAAATGTTCAGTTTCGGGGTGATAATCAGGAAAGAAAGCTCATTCCTGAAATTTATCTCGTCGTCTCTGTCAAGAATACCCAGGGCCCGTTTCTGACAGCATGCTAAGGCTGACGTCTGGTGGAAAGGACTGGGCTTACAAACGGGAAAGATGCCCAGGGACAGGGAGAATACGGAGGGGCCGGACAAGCACCCCGGTGACAAGTCCCGCCGGCACACTGCCCCCCGCGCGCCCCGGGGACTCACCTCGCCGTCCTTGCCGTCCCAAGGCTCTCTGGCGCTGATGGCAGGGAAGGCCCCGCCTCCTACAGGTGCCGTGGAGCCCCGCCCGAATGAGAGCTCCCTGGGGCACAAAGGACCAAAGCAAGCACATCCGGATGAAGAAACCATGTTTTAAAAATGATGACGTAAAAAAAATAAACAAACAACTAAATAAATAAAAATGACGATGTGCCTACTAGGTTCCTGCAAAGGCATTTCTCATCTCTTGCTCCTGAACAGTATATTATCTTTTCAAGCGAGGACAGCAATGCAACCAGGCGTGAAATTACCCAGGTCTTGGCATCAGATAAAACCAGTTATCACCAATAATTAAGAAAAACTTATTTTGCTAAAATACAAATTAAGTACACAATAACTATCAAATGTGATGTAGAACACAGGTGCAACCCTGACAGTTCCATGAACTATTCACCTCCTCTGTACTAAACAAACGACAAACCAGAAAGGGAAAACCAGTTGAAAAGTGAATAAACTCAAAGCTGAGGCTAGACCCTGCTGTTTCCAATAACTGAGTCCAAAGGCTCCATCTTGTTATGTAATTATTACCGTCATACATTTCCTATGGTTTTTGACACTGGAAATCAGCTGTTGAAAAAGGATGACATACTTCTAAGTATAGCTGACCCCGGAACAACACGGGCTGAACCGTACAAGTCCATTTACACAGATTTTTTTACACTACAGTAACGTAAATGTATTTTCTCTGATTGTCTTAATTACAGTTTCTTTTCTGGGGCTTACTTCATTGTAGGAATACAGTATATGATACATAAAACCTACAAAATATGTGTTAATCAACTACCAAGAGCTTATTATCAGCTCTACAGTACTGAAGGGAGACAAGGTCTGGGTAGAAGAGGTTCACCTTTGTGATAGTCAGAGTTATGAGGAAGAGGCATTAACCAAAACAGTGCAGCGTCAATGCCTTGCATTTGGCTGGAAGGTGATTAAGTCAATTTTAGGATGAGCTGAAGAGCAGGACAGAGAGCTCCGTACAACATTGGGTTTGGGAACCCTTAGTGTTGTTTGCACATCGCTGCAGTCACTTCAGAAGTATGCTCGTTTTCACATAACAATCTTCTAGAGCTAATGGCCAGAAATCGACGGGGTACTACCTGAGGTCAGGGGCACCAAGCGTGCTAGGGTGGGAATGGGTGAGAAAGGGCTCCTTCTAGCCCATGTGATATTTCTATGAGAATCAGGAAGAGCTCAATGCCAATGGCACAAGATGGCAGGGTGGCCATCACTCTACAGAATCCTTCCACGGAAAAGAGAACATAGCTCTTACAGGAAGATGATTTAGAACTCAAACATCTAATTCTCCAGAACTCCAAATGCAAAATAATTCCATCGACTGCTTGGTCTATGTAAACCTAGTTTTGAACCCACACCACCACAGAACTAAGCCACAAAACAAAAACAACTCAAGAAAGCAAGAAATTACCTGAGAAACTCATTAATGCCTTGCTCGCTGAAAGAACCTTTTAGAAGAGCAAATTTCATCTTGCGTGCATTAATGGCTGCCATGGCAGGGTATCCAAACCCTCCAATCCCCAATGCGTTTTCAAGTTCCGACTGGGCTCCAGCTTCGGTCCACAGCCACCTAGAGAAACAGGCTGGTTTTTAGGGTAAAGATCCCTTTGAAATTAGTTGAAATCTAATTAGCGGGTATTAAAAAAAAGATTACACTCCAAATATTTTCTGGAATGAAATGGATGTAGAAATAAAAAGGAAGTTTACAAAAACAATGTATTCTAGATGTGCTCTTAACTACAGTTCCTTTCTTATATTCCCTAAACCATACCTCCAGAAGTACCCCCGATCTACAAAATTTTCCTCCCAGCCCCTGAAGTACTGTCCACTAAACCTGGTAAATTTTCCGTCTTTATTACCTGAAATCCTACTAATATCATGTGGGGGATTATGCAAGCTCTCTAGAAGCATCATAACTTCTTTGTTAAACTTACTGGTGTGTCATTATTCAATACCTACGAACATGCTCAGCTGCATTTCCTTACTCAGCTGCTACAACGGTGAGGAATAACGGGTGCCGGAAGGCGCTGTTCTGTAGGCACACAACCCTGCGCTGAACTCAGGCAGGCGGTGCGGGGTCACCTGTCCCGAAAGGGACAGCAGGGGCAAGAGGGAGGCGGGGCAGCAAGAGATATTGAGGAGGAGAAGCAAATGTTCAACAGGAGGCAGACACACTTTGTCTGAAAAATCTGCCGTATCAGCCCTCACTTGGAAAAGGGTAAGCAAACACCTCTCTACTTCTCTTTCTTTGTCTGGCCTCCAAAGCTGTGCCGGAGTCCAGTGAGGTGACTCAGGTTTTGCTTGCTAGCTGGGACCCCAACCACCATTTAAAATGACTGCTATGAGAAAAATGTACACCGTGGCACAGATGAGTGTCTTAGAAATAAGAGACCTGCATTCCTTTCCTTCTAGATGGTAATTATTTACCTCCTAAACTTAAAAAAATGCCAAAGAGAAACAGGGACACATCCTACAGAGAACACAGTGGGAAGCAGAAACTTGAGGAGCACGATGCTCTCCCAGCCAAGTCATACCGAGATCGTAACTTACCCCCACATTTTCTTTTTGTATTTGTCTGCCAACTTCAGAAGAACGTCTAAGTAAGAATTTCTGCCAGCAGCTCCTAATTTAAACAGAGAGTGTTTTCAAGGTAAAGATAAAGGCGTCCGCCACACTCATCAGCGAGAAAGACCCGCAGGGCGGGGAGAGCCGTGCAGGGAGAGCAGGGGAGCCTCTGTCCGGCGTACCGGTGTCCAGAATGTGCGGCAGCACGGCCACGACACAGAGCTGGCGCTCCTCACACGTCTTCTTGGCGACGTCCTCACTGATGATCTGCGGGCCCGGAAGACAGGGGGTGGGTGGAAGGCCACTGACACAGAACCCAAAGGTCAGCTTGACAACAAACACTTGGCATCGTCACATTCACTCAAGGGAAGAGCAGTTCATGAGACCGAGCGACTCCTCCGGAATACGACGGCCTTGGCGATGCGGCACCAGCGACAGCTCTGCTCTGTGCGGGACTTCTGCGACTGCTCCCGAAGCCCTCCCTCTGGGGGCCCAGAGAGGCTTCAGCGCGTGCGCGCACACACACACCCACACCCCTCTCTCCCTCCAGGGGGCCAGCGAAGCATCAGCGCGCACGCGCACACCACACATACCCCCCCCCCACGGTCTCTGAAATGACAAAGGGTGTGGGTGTGGCCTGGCTCTTACACTTACTTGTTTAGCTAGACAGATATATACACATTATGTATTTATGAGCACTTGAGGCTCTCTGGGCCTCCATTTCCTCATGTAAAATGGAGATAAAAGCAGTATTTACCTCTAGGCATTCATGTGAGAACTAAGAGAAACAGACGTAAAAGCACCAGCACGATGCCTGTCCCACGCTTCTCCGCAAATAACAG